GACTTTATCAATCAAATTCTACATCTACTATCTTAGCTCCACACTAAGGATTACTAAATAATTCATTAATTTGTTCTTTTCCTTTCTAGGCTCAAGAGTAACCTTTACAAATTCCTATCTTTTTAAAGGTTAAGATGGAATTGTTTTCCTTTTACAAAAGATAAAAAATGCAAACAAGAAAACCTCACAAGGTAGGTGTTTACAAGATTTAAAGCTCACAAAGAATGAATATAAAGATTTACAATGAACTCAAAACATTATGTACAAGAGAAAATGAAAAATAAAGATTGAAGGGCTTATCTCTTGATCTTTAAGCTTGGATAGGTGTTGTAACATTCTTCAAGTGTTCTTGACTTGTTTTTATAAGTTGAAATGAGCTTATGGTTGTTTCTAGCCGTTTGAGGAAGTTTAGAGTCATTGGGGACTTATTTAGCTCCAAATAAAATTGCCTAGCACAAGGAGAATCAATACTGAGGTTTAAAGTATTGGTACTTCCTTTATAATATTTGAAAAAAATAGTAATTAATGATCATCGGGCTTGACCAGTATTAATACTAGGGTTTTGCAGTACCAGTACTATTATGTAAAATAGTATCAATACTCCTAGAGTATTGATATCAATTGTGCATATTGAAAAATTATTTTGTATCAATACTATAAGAACATTATTGGTATTGTTCATGTAGTATCGATATTGTTGATGCAATATCGATATTATAAGAACAATATCTATACTACATACCCATAAAATTATTTTTTGTTCAAATTCTTGTTTTATGGAGCTTGAGTTATTTTTGAAATCTTTGAACAAATTCAATTAAGTTCAAAACAATTTTGCCCTTATTTTTTATATCAAAATATAGTTCAATAAGCTACAAATCAGAATCGAACAACATGAGAAAACTATCTACGAGCGCAAATTGTGTATCCAAATCCAATCTAGGGTCCAAAATAGGGAAGATCAACATGATAACAAATAAATACCACCTTAATTAATCGTGACGATATCAAATCTAACCCTGAGAAAAGGATAAACGAAAGTAATGACCAAACGATCAAAAACTTACCAAAGCAAAAGAAATATGTTATAAAGGAAGAAAAATGTATCATAAAGGTAGAGTTATTAAAAATAAAAAAATATGGTATAATAAAATAAAATAAAAAATAATGAATATCAATGATCGGTAATTAATATTAAGACTGCTGCTATTGCCAGTAACAAAGATAAAAAATTAACGGTGGCGAAAAAGAAAAAATTAAGACTACTGCTATCGCCAATCACAAAAATAAAAAATGCTAAAGGTGGAAAAAAAGGAAAGAAAAATTAAGACTTAATATTAAAACTAACAATACTATCTTAATTTTAAAAAGGATATTATATTATTTTAAATAATGAAAAAAAACAGAATCCAATAAAATTAAAGACTATCTTATTAATCATCATAATAAAAGAATATTTTCTAAACTTTTTAAAAAAAGATAGAAAAATATTAAAAGAGTTTTTAAATTTTTTTATTTCTCAATTTTCAACTTTACCCAACTATAAATGAAAATAAAATACAATTATCTTCTAATTTTTGACCTTTCTATTCTTTCGACCTTTCACCCTGTCAATTCTCTTTATACTCTATCAAACAAAATCTAAAAGCAAATATTATAATTAAACAAAAATAACTGCAAAATTTCTCATTTTTTTAATACAATGGGCAAACACACAAGGAGTACCGCATTTTTTTTTAAATTATTTATTTTAATAAATCAAATATTAAATAATTGTAATTTTATTCGTTATTTTATATCTTTTCATATTAGTTAGTTTTTAATTATTGTGCATTCTTGGGTGTTCCTTTATTTTATTGTATTATAATAATTTTAGGTACTTTATATTTAAATAAAATTTAATAGGTTAATAATTCACATTATATAGATTTTTTATGGATTTATTTATTCACACTATATTTATGTTATTTTTAACATATAATGCTTTATTTTATATTTTTAGTAATTATTTGAATTATATAAATTAAGATATTCATATATTTATATAAAGGTTGTGTTTTTAATATTCATATTTTAGTATATTAAAATTTTATTTCTTATTTATCTATCTATATTTAATATTAACTTTAAATTTATAATTGAACTACTCTAGTGAATTAATTTAACATCAATTCAATCGAATAATTTAAAAGTATATATTTTAAAATAAATGTTTTATTGTAATAATATTTATGCTTTTCAGTAATTTTATATATTGCTCAGAAAATTAAATAGTTTAAAATATAATCTTAAAAATATTTTTAAAATGTATAAGTTAGGGCTGAGCAAAGATATCGAGAAAACCGAAAAACTGACACGAACTGAGTAAAACGGTTCGGTTTGATTCGATTTATCTTTTACGGTTCGGTTTCGAATTGAGTTAAATACTCAATTGTCTTAATTCGGTTTGGTTTTTCCATATGGAACCCACTTGTTCTATATTGAACCGAATAACAAGTTTGGTTGGATGTTGGTCCAGATTTGGGTTGTGGATAATTGCCCTTGGAGTACAAGAATGGGGTGGATCCAGAGCCAGGAAGATGTAGAAGAACAGATGGGAAGAAATGGAAGTGCAACAAAGAAGCAGTCCCGGGTCACAAATACTGCGAGAGACACATGCACAGAGGCCACCAACGTTCAAGAAAGCTTTTGGAAGCTTCTCAAGCTACCACCACCAACAGTAATCGTGTTAGCCATTGAAATGCCGACACCAAACTCTCCATTTCTCTGCAGCTCGATAGTAGCAATAGTAGTAGTAACAATGGCAGCAATCTGTCTTCTGGCTTTATCGGTTTCTCTCCAAAGAGTGTTCTCCGAGGAAGCAATAAAAAATCCGAGTCCTCGCTGCACTTTCAAGAGTTTTAGGAATGAGGTTTGGGGTAATATTTGTAGGTTAGGTGGTTTAGGGTTTATCAAAAAATTCGATTTATCAAAAACCACATTACCGAATCGAATCGAATCGAAAAATTATGTTTCACATATTTTGGTTTTTATACCATTTGATTTTGGTTTCTGTTTTAATTTTAAAAAATCGTTTATTACGGTTCGGTTCAATTTTTATTAAAAAACCGAACCGAATACACCCTTAATATGAGTGATTAAATTAGAATATAGTCCATCTTTTTGTATGGGTTCAATATTTGATATTAGTCTTGATTATATTTTTCATATCATATTTTTAAATAATTTAATTTTTTTACCCATTATGTAATTTTCAGCAAACAAACAAAAAGATCATGTATCCTATTCGGCGGAGTTTATTTTTGCAGAGGTAAAATGTCTGCAGTCTGCTTTTAGAGTTTAATGGAGTTTTTAAAAAAAATAATTTTTTAACATTTTAATGATTTTTATTTGTCAAAATAATTTAATTAAATTTATAATTCTAGGAAAACAATATAAATTCAAAAAATGATTTTTAAATAGATTTTTCAAGAATTATTAGTTTTTAGATAAATCAAATAATATTCTTATTTTTTTATTAATTTAGTGTGATTATAATTTATAAGATAATATATGATTAAAAGACTCAATTATTTAATTATGAGTGATCAAACACTCTTTTTTATTCGTTTGTTTCTTTTCTTCTTCATCTTTATGATCGGCTGCGACCCCAACCTTGGTGTTGATCGTCGATAGGGATGGACATGGATCGGGTTTTGGCCAACCAGACTCGATCCAAAAATTTTACATCCTAAAACCGACCCGATCCGTTCCAAAAAATATATACCCTCCACTCGACCTAACCCGTTCCGATTTTTTTTAGATAAAATCCGAACCTGGTCCAACTCGACCCAAAATAATAAAAATATTATTTTTATTCAATAAAAATAGTGATTGAATTGAAAAAAATAATATATAGAGTGATATTATTATAATTATTTCTAAATATATAAGGTAAAATTATATTTTTTGGGGTTAGATATTTTTCACCCTAAACCCGAATCTGACCCAACCCAAACGTCACCTTTAAAAAATCCGATCCAACCAGACCCGGCCTGAACCCATTTTTTTAAAACCCGATACGAACGAATTAGGTCGGTTCAAAACTCATTGGGTTTGGGTCTCATGCCTATCCCTAATCGTTAACAACCTATATTCATTATTTTTCTTTTGCTTTAGTATCTTTATTATTATTTTTAATCATTCTATCTTTATGACACATCTTGTTCGGCCTTTATGATATATTTTTCTCTACATTTATGATATGTTTTTTGTCGTTTGACTGTTATTTTTGTTATTATTTTTTAGAGTTGGATTTGACATCGCCATGACTGATCAAAATGATGTTTTATTTATTATCCTAATGATCTTCCATACTTTAGACCATTATATTGAATTTGAATACGTAGTTTGCGTTCATGGATAGTATTTTCACGTTCACTCACTTCTAATTTGTGATTTGTCGGTGATCTTTCGATAGCTTTAACTCATTTTGTGGTTCGTTTACCGATGTGTAAAGATATGTTCATATCTATCTTTTATATCCGAGTTTATTTGGTTAATTTTTTTTAATTTTTTTTTGTATGGTTCTTATGATACTAAAGTGTTACTTTTCTCGCGTTTAGGAAAATATATTTATTATGTGTTTAATTTATAATTGTAATTGTAAATCTTCATGCAATTTGTATATTTTTATTTTTAATAAAATTAATCAAATTTAATATCTCTTAAAAAACAATTATCATTCTAATTATTGATATCACTTAATTGATACTCAAATAATTACTTAATAAATTAAAATTACGGTAAAATTTTTAGTAATTGCAGTTGAGAATGAAAGTTGCTTTTAATCCAACTTTAATGCTAAAATAAAATAAAATGGAACCCCGTTGCTTTCTTTTTCTTCCTTGTACTTATAGACTGTAGGCTAAAAGTCTATACACGACAACAGCCTTTAGAAAGAACGTCTTCTCTCCTCATCCCTTGGCCCTGCCTCTTTTTTTTTTTTTGAAAAGGAAACACTGAAAAGCCAAAAAAAAAACGCTTCCTTTCTCTGTTTCCTCTCCAACTAAGTAATGGGTTTTGCATAGGAATTTATACTGAGCAGTCTTGGAGTAACCCGTTACCATTGTTCTCTGCTATTTTAGGGAAACAAAAAGTAGAGACATTTTACATAATAACCCCATTCCTTGTTGCTTAATGGCGTCCTTTTCCCCTACAAGCTGTTATTTTTACCTGCCTGAAGTCTGAACTGTCTCTCTTTTGCTCAATTCTTTTTAAATCTCGAGACTTTTGTTAAAAGCTAATAACACCCATTGCTTCAGTTATCCTGGAACCAGCTCCATTGCAGGTTTTTAACCATTTTTTTGTTTATTCATCCATTTGCTTGTCTGAAATCTAAGCATGTTTTGGTTTAGTTTATGATGTTTTCTTGTTTTCTCTCTCAGTTATTTGGGGTTTTCAGTTTGATGCTTGATTGATAGGTAAGGATGGCCTAATCCTTCTCTTGTTTTACCTGCCATTATTTGATTTGTTCTAAAAGTACTTTAGGGTTTGCTAAATTCATGAAAAGATTGGTACTGTTTTTTTGTCAGTGAAGAACACAGCTTGGTTTGGATTGAATTCTTTTTCTCTAGTAACAAATCTGGTTAAAAAAGCTTTTCCTTTATGTATCAATCTATAAATGTTTTCCCCTGTTCAAGTAACAAATCAGTGATTCATATTTTTCTGTTTCTGCATATTCAGTGCCAAGATTTCAAATTTATTGTATTTTCATTTACTTTCTTCATGTGTTTGATTTTCTCTATCTTGAAAAATCAGTGTTCTGGCATCATATTGCTTGTGAGCAGCAGTTGATTTAACATGTTGGCTGATCTGTTTCCTTAATCTTAATGTATAAGTATGTTTTTAGCTTCCGTACAGATGATTATATGTTCTAATTTGATTTTTTTTTCTCTTGCTTTTGTGAACTTGAAACCATCCTTAGTAGACATGCATGCAATCCCAGAAAATCTAGAAGCATATTTTCCTTAGTGAATTGCTTTTTGTAAGAAAGTTCAATATTTTTGTTTTGTTAGGTTCATAGGAAATTTCTTTAGGTTGCTTTTAATCATGGAAGGAGAGACTTCATGGATCAGCCATTGCATTGATGACATGTGTAAAGACATTGGCGAGTTCCATTCATTCTCAGAACTTAGTGATGAAGGTAATAAAGAAACACCAGTTTCTGTGGACTCTATCCTACCTGACGACTTGTTGGAACGGATTCTGGCTTATCTTCCCATTGCGAGCATTTTCAGAGCTGGCTCCGTGTGTAGAAGATGGCATGAGATTGTCAGTTCCAAAAGGTTTTTATGGAACTTTTCGCATGACCTATCGCAGAAGCCTTGGTATTTTATGTTCACAAGTTCTGATGAACCAGTTGGTTATGCCTATGACCCGATTCTACGGAAGTGGTACAGCATTGAACTTCCCTGCATTCAGACCCCGAATTGGTTCATTGCTTCATCCTGTGGCTTGGTTTGTTTCATGGACAATGACAGTAGAAGCGAGTTGTATGTCTGTAATCCGATCACCAAATTTTACAAGAAGCTCGAGGAGCCCCCTGGTATGAAATTCTCTGATTATAGTGCATTGTCAATCTCGGTGAACCGGACGTCTCTGAATTATACCGTATTCATTGTGAAATCTAAACAAGTTCCCGGTAATTTTTTCCAATGGGACCTTTCGATACATATTTATGATTCTGAGACAATGATGTGGGCAATCTCCTTGACTGAGGTTTTGACAGGATGGAGAGGTGGAGATGAAAGTGTGATCTGTGATGGTGTTTTATATTTTCTAATTTACTCAACTGGGGTTGGTACACCAGAAAACCGACACACCCTTGTTACATACAATCTCTCTAGCCGAGCATCCACGTCGGTAAGGAGTTTCATACCAGTACCAGGTCCACTTACTTGCGGCCGATTGATGAACCACAAGGACCAGCTAGTAATGGTGGGAGGAATCGGGAAGCAGGATCGACCTGATATAATTAAGGGCATTGGAATCTGGGTTCTTAACGGGACTAGTTGGGTAGAGGTGACTCGCATGCCCCATAAGTTCTTTCAAGGATTTGGTGAGTTGGATGATGTTTTCGCCAGTAGTGGTACCGACAATCTCATATACATCCAGAGCTACGGTGCTCCGGCCCTTCTTGTTTTCGACATGAACAAGAAACTATGGAAATGGTCGGTCAAGTGTCCAGCATCGAAGAAATTCCCTCTTCAGCTCTTCACAGGCTTTTGCTTTGAACCAAGACTCGAAATTGCTCCATGATCTTTTTCTGATTGGATTCTAGTTTCTCTCATTATGATTGTAATGTATCTCAATTCCGGATAAGGAAAACGAAATCTACACAATGTATGAGCTCATTTATGAAAATGAAAAGGCTTGGATTATGTATGAATCTGGAGATTCGTGACTTTGACAAAGACTTACCCTTCGTCTTTGGGAGTCAGAACTCAGTGATGGGGTCCCACTTCCACATGCTATTGAGTTCATAAATTTTCTCCTTCCTCGACGTGATTGGTTCAAGACATTGGACCACATAACTTTTGTCAATATTGGGTTGCCATTATCTATTTATATTGTTTCCGGGCAGAATGAATTTTGACAGAAAATATAGTGTCTGGCGCTCTCACTGTTTTGAGAAAGACCGTTGGCAAAGTTATAGTTGTATTTAGCTCTGCTTCTTTCATTCCTTTCACATACACTGGCTTTAAACCCGGGGATCATTTCAGTTGAGTTAAATGATATTTGATGTAAGGCGAATCTACACACTTTGGTGAGAAGAGTAGATAGCCTTATTGTGTCCCGATCTAGGATTGACAAGTACTGATGTCCTTGAATTAATAAGCTTGGGCTGCAAAATAATAAGACAGAAATATGATTAATAATGGGTTTAAGAAATGAATAATAATATAAGTAATGGAATGAAATAATAAGAATAGAGATGGCTGCGGAATTGATGGATTGATGGGTGTTGTTGATGATGGAAATGACGAAATGGAGATGGTGGTGATAGTATCCCAAACACACCAAAGAGGAAACTATGCTATGTAGCACAATCCCGGTCTTTACAAACTTGCTTGAGGGGTGGTGATCGTGTCTTTAACCCACTAGATAACAATCTAGGAATTTAGGAATCAAAATGGAAGGAATGACGCCACAAGTATAGGAACTACACTTGTTTAATCGATAAAGTTCACAAAGAACTTTGAAGAGAAATAACTCACAAGAGTATATTTTTATATAAGAGATGAGATGATTACAAATGAAATGCACTAGCCTATTTATAGTTTTTCAAAGGGTTTAGGCCGAATAGACACATGATGGTTCGGCCAAGGTTGAAACCCCTTTGAAAATACATGATTTTTGATGAAAATACATGATTTTAATGAAGATACATGCTCTTGGCCGAATGGTATGTGTTGGTTCGGCCCTAAGGATGATTTGAATGCATTTGGAAGTTATTTGGGCGCCAAAATGAAGAGGAAGGAGTATTTGGCCGAATAGGAAGCATCCCTTGGTGTTTTGGCGCCAATTTGATGTCACATGGAGTGCACATGCTTGAATGATGCACATGGCAGCCTACTTGAACGCACATGGGTCTTCTTGCAAGGCTTTGGTGAGGTTGCAACCATAGGATGATGTCTTGAAGTCCATGGGCAGCCTAGAGATGAACTAGCTTCAAGGTAAGCTAGGTGAGTGTCTTGGTAGCTAACTAGGTGAGTTATAGCTTGATGAACTCAAGCTAGTTAGCTTTGGTCTTCTCAGCTCCTCAGCTACTCTCCCAGCTACTTCCAGCTACCTTTAGTCCACTTTTCAACAATTTGGTCCAAAGCTCTCCTCCAACTAGGTTCAGCTACATGCTAGCTCCTCCAGCTAAGTTGAAGCTCCTTATGTGATGAAATGAGCTGCCATAATGTTCAAGAGCTAGTGTGAGCTGCTATGCTTATCCTTTTAGCTAACCAAGCTACCATAATATGCCTTGCTTTGTGTTTCACCTATAGAAATTAACAAACAAACCGAGTAAGCAATGTGTGAGCTCATTTAAGGTAAAATGCATGCTGTCGTGAGGTGTTTGAGTGATATAAGCTATGAATGATCATCTAGAAGCTAAGATAACATGTATATAAGCTAGATAAAAGGCATAGGACGTTTATGAGCTTTAAGAAAACATATATGAGCTAGAAAATAGATGCATGCATGCAAATGAGCTAAAGAATCATGGATTTAAAGCTAGTGAGCTAATGTAAACATAACATGAGCTAGAATAACATGATATGAGTTAATGAATGAATGAATACATGCTGCCATGATATCTAAATGAAATGAAAACATAATAAATTAATCTAAAACATATGTAAACATAATATAAAGCTAAGTAAAGATGTGAAAACATATGTTATGCATGAAAATCATATAGTTGCAAGTGAATGATAACATATGATTATTCAAGCATAGTTTAAGATGCAAATGTATGCTCATAATAATATATAGTGCATAAATGAGTAAATATAATATAAAGTAAGGTATAACTCCCTTATATTGAGCATGATGAATCTTCAATGATGTGAGTGTGTCATGAAGAAAGTTGGTGCAAAACATGATCACATCATCCTCCCATTCTTTTAGGCGATTTGTCCTCAAATCGTAAGGTAACTTCTCCTTAGTGTCTTTCCATTCAAATGTTACTGATTTGACTTCAAAATGTATCCATTCAATACCAAATTGTTCAAGACATTTCCTTTTGAAATGATCTATGAAAGGTTCCTCATGAAAGGTCATGAATCTTGAATAAGTGCTTTGAACCTCCTTGTCCTGAAAAGAAAGAAGACTTTCATAAGTAAGGGAAGTATTAATCATGAGAAAGTTAAAGGTATACTCCCTGTTCATATATTTTGGATTGCCAAAAGTGATGTCTTTTGAATCACAATATATGTTCCTTTGAACGACCATGTCCCCAAAAGTCATGTTCCTTGGTCCTCCAATAGGTGTATTCATTGAATCATGAAAGGTTATAACTCTTAGAATGGAAGTTTCCTTAGAATCCTCATAGGACACGTCCTTTGGATGATAAAATGTCTCCCTTTGCCTCGCATCTCTTGGCTCTTTGAATGTCACGTCCCCTAGCCTCCCAATTTGACAAGTTGTGTCGCTTGGAAAATTTGAAACATCAAAGAAAAAATCTATAATTACATGGTTAGAATAATCATCCTTGATCTTTCGTTTCATCCATAGGCATTCTCGAATGACCTTGCCATCACCAAGTGATAAGATAATACCATATATATGAATCGAATTTCTGCAAAATAAATCAAAACATGTAAATGAAAAACTATTGACAAGATGAAAGGAAATATCAAACCAGGGTGGATGTTTAATGGGAGTTGGTTGCTGAATTCTTTTCTGGATTGGCAATGTACTTGGAATGTCAACGAACACAACTCTTGGCACTTCAAGTGATGCTTTTTTAGAACTTCGAATGGCATAACCTTTGAAATATCAAGAGACATGTTTTGTGAATCATCTCCTTGAAAAGATATGTCTCTTGAATTATCCTGCAAAACAAAAGAGAGAATAGGAGTAGAAGTAAGGTTAGATAAAAATTGTTCTTCACTCTCCTCTTTTCCTCCAAATTCATTCTTTTCAACTCCAACGATTTCTGCATCCACTCTCGTTCATCATTTTCAACTCCAACATTTTGTTCAACTTCAAAATGCTTTTGTTCATTTGAATTTTTCTCCAAACAGTCTTCAGTTGCATTGTCTTTAAGTTGTTCTTCAATTGCTTCAATGTTCTTCTTCAAGGTGTTTTGATCTTCATTTACTCGGCTAGGAGATAGTGGAGTCAAGATGAGTTTCCTTTCATTGTGAAAGAAGGAGTATTGGTTTGTGAAACCATCATGAACAGCACGCTTGTCAAATTGCCATGGCCTCCCCAAGAGTAAATGACTCGTATTCATATGTACCACGTCACATAGAATCTCTTCTTTGTAACTTCCAAGTGAGAATGGAACAAGTACTTGCTCAGTAACCTTCAATTCTTCATTGCCATGCAACCATTGCAATTCATATGGACTGGAATGTTTAATCGTTGTAAGCCCCAATTTATTCACCATGTATGTGCTTGCAATGTTTGTACAACTTCCTCCGTCAATAGCTACAAGACACACTTTACCATTTACATGGCAACGAGTGTGAAATGTGTTTGTTCTTTGTTGTTCGTTCTCCATTGTTTGGAAAGATGAAAGATCATAAGACATTGTTAGTAGAAAGAAAAAAAATTAAAAACCTTACCAGCACGCTCTCAAAGCCTCACAATCTTCACTCCAAAGAAATTAAGAGATCACTCACTCAACACTTGTGTTTACTCTCGGGAATATAATTGGCTTTTAACAATTCCCCTTCTGATCTCACTCTCTCAATTAGCCTTTTTCCACTCAATTTCTCTTGTTAAGTCCTTTGAAAAACTTACTCAAGATTAGAACAAGTTAATTCTTTCCTTGTGTGCGTCGGCTGCAAATAGGTTAGGGTAGAAAGGAATAGAAATGGAAAGGTAGAAGAAAGGATTCAAAGGTATTTAAAAGAAAGAAATGGTTGAAGACAAGGAAAATGAAAGGATAGAAAAGGAAGAGGTGACTTACAATTCAAGAAACAACACTTACTGCAACCTTTCTCAAGAAACAATAAGGTTATCTTCTCTTAGTGTAGATAGGCCTCTTTGATGTACTTTGCAATGGTAGAGCACTTTCCTTGGCTTGCTTTATCTTTTTGAACTTCTCTTTTCTTTTCTTTTCTTTTCTTCTTTTTCTGATTTTTCTCTTCTTTTGCACTCCAATTTTGTTGAAGGAGTCTTTTCTCTTTTGAACTTCTTTTGCTTTGTACGCCAATGACACTTTTGTTGTCAATCCAACTATGCTCTGATTACCGCTTGATGTAAGGCAAATCTACACACTTTGGTGAGAAGAGTAGATAGCCTTATTGTGTCCCGATCTAGGATTGACAAGTACTGATGTCCTTGAATTAATAAGCTTGGGCTGCAAAATAATAAGACAGAAATATGATTAATAATGGGTTTAAGAAATGAATAATAATATAAGTAATGGAATGAAATAATAAGAATAGAGATGGCTGCGGAATTGATGGATGATGGGTGTTGTTGATGATGGAAATGACGAAATGGAGATGGTGGTGATAGTATCCCAAACACGCCAAAGAGGAAACTATGCTATGTAGCACAATCCCGGTCTTTACAAACTTGCTTGAGGGGTGGTGATCGTGTCTTCAACCCACTAGATAACAATCTAGGAATTTAGGAATCAAAATGGAAGGAATGACGCCACAAGTATAGGAACTACACTTGTTTAA